GCTAAGTTAAATCATGGAGACCAACAATATTCTGTCATACAATGGGTGACGTAACAAGAGAGGCACTAGTTTCCGTTCTGAAAGGTGATGGGAGGGCTTATGTGGGAGGTTTGTAATACGGATAGATGAGCGCTCACCGACCGGTTACGGAACCCACTCGCCGTGTTCTGTCTTGTGCCTCACTCTCGAGTCTTGCCAGCAACCACACGGCGGTTAGTATTATAGGCGAAAAAACACTACTGATAAGAACAAGGAAGAATAGAATGGTCATCAGTAGCAAGCCACACCCAATCCCAGGTTTGCACCATCCGGGGCTCGCATCCGCCACCTGTTGATTAGAAGTCCAACGTTGCACCCATTGGAACACAGACTTGTTGTCTTGCCGGTTTACATTGTGAATATCGATTAAGTCACCCAGTATGTCGGCGTTTTAATGCGCGCCTTTCCAGTTTCCCGCGAAAACCAAACTCACTACAAAAAAAAAACAATTTAATTGCTATGAGTATCTAAATCAATTTTTGACGTTCTTATAAATCCGTACGTATGCTAAGGAAAGCATGCATGTCATCTTGTCGGCAATTTGTAGGAAATTTCTGCTTCTTCAAATGTTCTGCTCGAAGAAGAAACATCGTCCGATTCAAATAAGTTCATAAATCTGACTGTTAAATGTCTATTCCAGGCTCATCTCATCTATCCGTTCACGATATTTGAACCTATAGGGGCATTCAAATTAAAGAGAAAAGTACATATTACTTAAGTAGCCTCTGTTTACGAAGTGTACTCGTTGCAGACAGTCAAAATGCTGCTATTTCAAAAGCCGACATCCCGACTTGACTGAACTATTATGAGATTAGTCAATACGTTGATCAGTATTACAGCGCTTCTTGAATAATTTATTCGAGTCAAAAACACTCTTCAGAATTTCGGTTGACTTTTAATGAGATAGGGAATAAATTTGCGACTGCGCGTCATATGAGTCCAGGTCGTACATGACCTTCCAGGTTGGTTGGAAGCGAGATAAAGTGAAGGTGAGAGATATTAAGAAAACATTATGCTTTTTTAAAGGACAAATGCTTCCGGAAAAACCTCAATCCATACAGTTCCGAAGCAGGAAAAATTGCAACATTCTTGGCTGCGAAAATCCTGGAAAAGTGTTCGTGGGTGAAGGAAACGTTTGAAGGGATGGAATTTAGGATCACCTGATTCCGCTGTATTGATTGTTTACCGTCAGTTGGTTGGTAAGATAATCGTGAGCGGTGACTTACTTCCATGTTCAACCAGTGCGTGTAGAGAGGATTGTACGCTAGTCTCCCTGCCGCTGGTAGACCTCGGTCCTCCCCGGTTTAAGCACCCGTCTCGCATTTTATCCTTGCCTTCGCTCATGTCATACCACAGAACTTGGTTAATCGACGAGATTTATGTGTCAACTGAGTG